AAGGTCAGCAGTTCAAACTCAACAGCCTCTCCTCGGAAACCCTATACAGGGATGTCATGACTCAGAACTGATTTGACTGCACAGAACACCAGCAGCAGCCCACTGAGAATATTAAAGATAAAATTCTAAAAACAAAAAATACATATTGCTTATGAAACAGGTGTGGTTAAGAGCTTGCTGTTAGAAGTTTACTGCCTGATTTTCATGTCCTATAGTTCCCTAACTAACTAGTTATGTGACTTTAATGAAGTTACATATAACCCTACTGCACCCCAAATTTCCAATCTGAAAAATGGGATCATAAAAGGAACTATATCATAGGACTATTTTGGGAATTCGATGAATTACTCCATATAAATCACTTAGAATAATGCTTAGCACATAAAGTGTGGTTATATATTCTACAAAATTGATAAATTAATTAAAATAAGTCTTCTCTCAGCTAAATTGTAACTCTTTAGATTTAATTTAGGAAACTCCATAGTGATGATAGTTTTTTTTTTTGTTTTAGGAAACCGATGACTATAGATATTTTGATCCTAAAATGCTACGCGGCAATGACAGGTAAGCTGCTTTTGCCTTGTGTAATATAATTTACTCAGTTACTTCCTCACCCCTGGAAATGGAAATATTAACAGTTAAAATTAAAATTATATATTGTAAGTACTGTTGAGTCAATTCCAACTCATAGCGTCCCTGTTTAGGGGTTTCCAAGGAGTGGCTGGTAGATTTGAACCACTAACCTTGCTGTTCAAATCAACCTCTGCAGTCCCACACCAGGACACCATTAAAATTATGCAGAAAACTATTTAAAAATAGTATGTTACCATCTCTCTAACCCAGAGATAATCATTATCATTTTGATATTTGTCCTTCAAAGTATACACACGTGTAAAAATATGTTTAGATTTATTATATTTATAGTACAAATATTATTGCCTATAGATGGAAGAAATGTCTTATTACAAACTAAGAGTGAGAGAGGGGAATTTGCATAATGTGATATGAGTTTTCTCATTGACCAGATGAAAAGAGGAGAGCATTCAGTTAGACGAGATTTATTTTAACTAATCAATAAAATCTAAGAACCTGGGAACTATTGCTGTAAATAAGAGTTTATAGCAATTAAACATTCTGTAAATAACTTCAGTTATTAGTGGCAAGAATGTTATGATAAGATACTCTTTGTTAACTTTGTTTTAGATAAATGATTCCCAAAATTTAATTAATTGTAATATGAAAAAAATATGAGTCCTGGTGTGATGCTGGAGGATAAACACTGGACTGCTAACCGCAGGTAGTTGGTTCAAACCCACCAGCCATTCACAGAAACCCTGTATAGGGTTGATATGGGTCAACTGACTCGATGGCACACAATAGTATGAAAATAGTCCAGAAGGTAAAATAGTCAAAAGATGAGGCAAAATTAGAAAAACAACTTCTTGGATGTAGCTTGTGTCCTGCCTGTGCCTAATGTTTGGAATCTTCAGAACTTTGTCTTGCGCAGTCCCAAGCTTTCATATCTTTATATGTAGTCAGGACAAAATATCTTAATCACGACAGTTAATTATTAGGTTACTTTAGTAATAAAACAATTATTATCTTTTCTGAATTTATTTAAAAATGCTACCAAAGTTGGAAAAGAAACTGCTATTTATAGCCGCTACAGTTGGCAACAAACTGCCAAATTTAGAAGAGAGGAATAGGGAGTGACAGCTAATGTGTATAGAATTTCTTTTGGGGGAGATAAAATGAGTGTTGATGGTTAGTACAACTGTTGAAGCAGTGAATTTTATAGTATCAGAGTTGTATCTCAATAAAGCTATTAGGTAAAAAGAGTATATCAAAAAAGCTTTCACAGTTAGTTGAATGTTTTCCTCTTCCTTGCCTCTCTGCTTTGGTCCTTTTGGTGCATTACAGCTCTTATCGTTTCCTATACTGATATTCTCCAGCTTACATTTTCCCTTCCTTGTGTTAACATATGATAAATATAAGTAAATATATCTTGATTCTTAGTAATTCCTTTAATCCTAAATGTAGTTTATGCTTGATAATGAAGAATGTTTGATAACATTCTTTGAAAACAAACAGATGTGCTTGGAGCTTACATTTTAGACTCAGCCTTCTCTTGAGCTGTTATTACTAACTAGTAATACTGTGCTGTTTAAATCTCACCTTTCATTATACCATGCCTACATTTAAAGGAACTTAAAGCACTGGTGGTGGTGTGGTGCTGTGGAGTCGGTTCTGACTCACAGAGACCCTGCATAGGGTTTCTGAGGCTGTAAATCTTCATGGGAACAGAAAGCCTTATCTTTCACTCGAGGAGCGGCTGGTAGTTTCAAACTGTAGTTATTTTATGTGTATTATATATAACATGTACTTTTAATATGTCGGAAGTGAAGTGACTCCACATGATAAGTAATGGACTGTGTATCACAAGGTCAGTGGGTCAAGCCCACCAGCCACTCTGTAGAAGAAAATGTGGCTTTCTGTTCCTGCAAAGATTTAAAGACTTGGAAACCCTATGAGGGTCCCTATGAGTTGAAACTGACTTAATGGCACTTAAAATGTAATGATAAGTTACAGCAAAATGCAGAGCCCTCTTCCTTGCTAAGTTATCTTTCCCATCCATATGTTTATTCTTTTTATCAACTAACCTATTCCCAGAGTTGTACTTCTAATGGAAATTGCTGTTCAATCTTTCCTTTGCCCTCTCTAAATCTTCTTTCGTAGGACTTCATTTTAAAGTCAGTGGATTAGCACTCCCTACCCTTTAGACACTAAGACATCTAACTCTTACAACTTATTCCTCTGCATTCAGTTCACTATCTTGCTCAGTAAAACAAAAGATGGTGATGTGATGGATGAGGAGTTATAAATACCAAACTGATGTGTGTGTGTACATGTTTTATCCATAAGAAAAGCCATGGGTGAAATTTTCTTGTTACAGCTCAGTACCAAGGAACAAAAATCCATTCCAAGAGGTAAGCACCATATGAAAATTCTGTCCTAAATGAAAGGTGACCAAGCAGCCTGTTTTTGCCTAAACATAATTTTCTTATATAGTGTTTTATAAAGTTGGTGGTAAGTCCAAATATATGCATCCAATATGCTTTTTTAAAAACTTTTTCTTTTAGCACTGTATTTTCTTAATTTACAAAATTGCATATGATTATGAAATAATGCAAAAATGAAGTTGGACACCTATCCTATACTGTATATGAGGGGGCTTCAAACAGTTCTTGGAAAAATGGAATTGAAAGACAATGGAATGTTTCCACGAACTTTTCGAAGCCCTTTCATATAAAAATTAACTTCATGAGTATCAACGACCTAAATGTAAGAGCTAAACCGAAACTGTAATTCCCTTAAAAGAAAACTTGGGCATAAATCTTTAGGACCTTGGATTTGACAGTAGTTTCTTAGATCAGATGTCAAAAATATGAGTAACAAAATAAAAAAAAAAAATAGGTAAGATGGGAGTTCATCAATAGATGCTATCACACAAGAGTTAGCACAACCCACATAAAAGATGGGAATTTTGGATATATAAAAAACTCTTAAAACACAATTTAAAAGTGGGCAAAATATTTGATTAGACATTTCTCTAAAGAAGGTATATAGATGGCCAATAAGCACATGAAAAAAGACACACCATCATTTGTTATCAGGGATATGCATATCATAATGACACACGACTTCATACACAGTAAGACAATGTGTTGGCAAGGATGTGTAGGAATCAGAGTCCTAATTCGATGTTGATGGTACTGTAAAGTAATGCATCTAATTAGGAAAATAGGCAGTTCCTCAAATGAGTAAATAGTTAATGTGTGACCCAGCAGTTCTACACCTAAGAGTAGGAAGACATATATGTCTATACCAACTGGTGTCTCTGAATTTTTATAGCAGTAGTAATCATAATAGCTGAAAGTTAGAAACAACTCAAATATTCATTGTATGACAACGTGTAAACAAATGTGGTATAGCCATATAATGAAGTTTATTTGTAAAACTGGATTCCAAATATTTGTTTTCATTTGAAATGCAAACAGAAATTGTCAGTAAAAATTAATACAGAAAATAGCATGTTGAAAATTCTGTCAATGCTGGGTGTTCTATTTTTCCTGCCCACAAAATAACCTCAACTTAAGAAATGGCCTTTGGAGGAATCTTTTCAGAGTTGCTGTTAAAGAATGTAATTATTCTTTACAACTTAATAGACATTAGAAATGTATAGACTTCTTTTAAAACATTTCTTAATGAAGTTATGCCAGGAATCTTACTTACTACCTTAAATGTGTAGCAGGCTCCATGACTTATAGACCATGTTGCTTGAAAGTTAAATGATTGTTTTAACTATTTAACTGACTTTTTTTTTCTCCCATGTCTGCATTTTTAGGCAATTGTTTTTGTAGTGGGAGGAGGCAACTACATTGAATATCAAAATCTTGTTGATTACATAAAGGTATATTCTGGGGGTTTTTTTTGTCTTGTGTGATGGTATCCCAGTTGTTCTTCATCTTTCGAATGCTTTGGTGGCTATCCTGATCTGTATACATAACCAGCCTCTTTTCTAAGAGGCAGATTTTTAAATCCTGCCTCTAGGATCATGTCCATGTGTTAATTGTTTTTCCACATTCATTGTGGCCTAAACTTGATATGGAAAATGATGTATCTCATTATTGGAATGTGCCTTGCAGTTATGTAGCTTTTACTTTAAATACTTAGAAACTTCAGATCAGCACCTCTTCCAAAAAAGTCTCTGTGGTAAAATGATTTTTAGAAATCATTTAACTGAATAATTTGTACTTTACTCCCATCATAGCGACTTAACAACATATTTCTAACAAACTTAGAATGTCTTTTTTTTATTTTTTCCGAGAAAATGGGAGCATCAGAGATTGCAAATTAAATACTCAAAGCAGACAGGAGTCACAGAAAAACTGACAGTGAAGGAAGCAGCTTAGCTTGAGGAGCAAAAATGTTGGGGCAACAGAGTTAGCTACTGTTAAATAGTCATTCAAATTTTAATCAATTATAATTACTGTTTCTGTATTTCAGTGATGTTAACAGTTTCTGATAACATCACTGAAATTAATGATGATCTTAGACAAAACAATGAATTTATGCCTAAAATACTCTGCAGAGAGACAGGTACTTTAAAGAACTTACTGAGACTGAAGATGGTATACGTACAGAAGGCTATACTAAAGGTATAGCTCCCGTAAAGATTTACAGCCTCGAAAACCCTGTACAGGGTTACTATGAGTCGGAACTGACTCCACGGCACACAGCCACCACCAGTATTTTGAAGGAAAGAGAAAAAAAATACTATGCCCTGTCACCACTGTACTCCTGTTGTTGTTGTTAAGTGCTGTCAAGTCGATTCCAACCCATAGCAACCCTGTACAGGGTTTCCGAGGCTGTAAATCTTTACTGGAGCAGAAAGCCTCATCTTTCTCCCACAGAACAGCTGGTAGTTTCCAACTGCTGACCTTAAGGTTCACAGTCCGATTCGTAACCACTGCGCTACCCAGAGCTCCTTTTGGCTACATGTAATTTTAGGATAGACATGTATACACTGAAATCTAGTTACTGCCCACCTCCTCTGACAACAAAAATATCCTATCTTGTCTAGTTTTCCTTCTTGGGTATATTGATACTGAAAATATTTGGGACAGGGGTAGGTGGGTAAGACATGTGGAGAAGTGCAAGGGTTAAAAGCAACAGAGGTAAATATGGTTATATGTACAGTCCTGCAATAACAGTTATCTATGGGCATTTGAGTTATGGTGTTGGAGAATACTGAAAGTGCCATGGGCTGCTAAAAGAACCAACAGATCCTTGTTGGAAGAAGTGCAGCCACAGTATTCCTTGGAGGCCAAGATGGCCAAACTTCCTCTCTCATACTTCAGACATATTATCAGGAGGGACCACTTGCTGGAGAAGGATATCATGTTTGGGAAGGCAGAGGGTCAGAGAAAATGAGGACGACCCCCAGCAAGATGGATTTTAGCATCATCGATGGACTCGAGCGTGGCAACAATAGTGAGATTGGCCCAGGATCAGGCAGTGTTTTGTTTTGCTATGCCTAGGATCTCTATGAGTCTGTATCAACTCCATGGCACCTAACAACAACATGGGCAGACACATGGTTAGGCACACAGGCTGAATGAGTGTAGGTTTGACATAGGAATTTTAAGAAATATGTAACGTAAACATTGCACTTGTCTTTGATTTTTATAGGGGAAGCAAGGGAAACACATTCTATATGGCTGCAGTGAGCTTTTTAATGCTTCACAGTTCATAAAACAGGTAGAGTATACCTTTTTAGTTTGTTTCTATCTCTGCTCCAAGTTGATGTTGATATTTTTACTGTACAACACCAAAGAAAACTCCTATGATAAACATAATTTCCATTATCCCAAATCTTTAGGAAAAGGGAAATCTAGAATAATAATTTACTCCATTAGGTAAAATTCAACTGTGCATTTCCTTTTATATATACTATTTACATTTAAAAATGTGTCAAAGCACATCACAAACTTAGGCTGAGAAAATGAAGTAACTTTAACGGAATAGGTGTTCAGTTTTGATACAGTGGTTATTATATCCACTTAGATAATGAATGAGAACAGCTGAGGTATATAAAGGATCTGTATAATCTTTTAGTTTTCATCCCACCAATGTCCTTAACCACCACTTGTCTGTCAGTTTGTCGCACTATGGCAGCTTGTGAGTTGCTGTGATTCTGGAAGCTACACCACAGGTAATTTAAATACAAGCAGGGTGACCCGCGGTAGACAAGGCCAGGGACAGATTGTGGAACAGACCATCAATTGGTCATATGCAAATTCAGACTGAAGCTGAAGAAAATAAAAACAAGACCATAAGAGCCAAAATATGACCTTGAATGTATCCCACCTGAATTTAGAGATCATCTGAAGAAAAGATTTGATGCATTAAACACTAAAGACTGAAGACCGGAAGACAGAAAAAAGTCATTGAGAAGACAAGGAAGAAGGAAAAGGTCAAAATAGATGTCAGAAGAGACACTGAAACTTGCTCTTCAGCATAGAGATGCTAAAGCAAATGGAAGAAATGAGGAGGT